ATCATCTTTGGCTGGTATCACAGCTATCACAGCTATTATCAAGCAAAGCATAATAACCAGCAGTGCTAGGATTAAACTCAAGAGTACAGTGAGGACAATGACTGGCTTGCTCCATGCTGGCTTCTTTGAAGCACGCGCATCTCTTTTTGCACGCTTATCCTTTGGCTTTGCTTTTATTGGTTGTACATTTGTCTTTATGCTGAGATCTACCAGTTCATATCCATTAACGTCTTGATGTGGTCCACGTGGTTGATCAGGAGGTGATCGATAATACACGTCATTGATGAACCTATCCATTGATCCTTTAGTTTACTGGCAGTCCTCAACAGTACTGTGCTTTTGTCTTAATGGCCACTCTCCTGATGTTTATTAAAATACACTTAGTATATGCACTATTAGTACTAAGGCAGAGTCATGCATGATGGATGAGGGAAATAACATCCATTAAGCATTCAATTACATGTATATATATTAATACACACATGAGCCCACACTAATAAACAGTGGGGGACCTGATGAAACAAAAATTGGCTAAGCAAACAAATTGGATCCATTTAATTTAATGGCTTCAGAAATAAACAAAATAATGTACAATTATGCTTGAATGTAAAATTGTGGGTGCCTATACCATTAGATTGGGTTAGTTAAGTTCTAAAGTTGTTCCAAATGCCATGTACTGTATTGTAGATTTGTAGTTCTACTCTTACTTACCCATCAGTAATGGTATTATGTTAATGACACATGTCTGATGCTTACCGAATTGCTGGACAGTCTTAGGTGAAGATTTATACAGAGTAATGAGATAGTCACAGTAGAGTAACATGGAAACCAGCTCAACAGGTCTGACTGTACTAGAACTGGCCATAGAAAAATTAGTGAGAAGAAACTGAGACCTAAATTGTGATGCAAAGAAATAATAATAATTCCACAATCTATAATTAAATATACAATAGTGGTTGGTGGTACATAAAATGTATAGAAGTTAATGGCGTACAATGGTCCGTTTCATGCATACCTTTCCTCTTCTTTAACTAAAGTGCCAGCAAGTGTTGTCTTCCCTTCAATCAGTGATGTAGCAGTTGATTTCAATAGCTTCATCTCTTCTGTACTAATCACTAATAGAGAGAAGGAGAGAGTGAGTGAGAGAGAGAGACAGAGAGAAAATAATGTTAAGTGACAGGTAGAAGTGAAACAGGTATAGAGTGAGGGAGAGAAATAAATCAATTAAGAAAGATGAGTGGGTGAATTAGCTGAACTCTGTTTATTATTATTATAACAAAAAATTGTTTTCTTTTATAATACAACAAGTTTTAATGTAATTTTTATAAGCGGGTCCAACCTCCACAAATAAAAAGGAACAAAAATAAAACAACAAACATGTAATAATAATAATATAAAAGCACAAAATGCCGGTATTCATTTTCAATCATCCGCTCTGCTATAAGGTGTCTTCGGGGATGTCGGTCTCGTTATAGACACATGTCCATTGACTCTTGTGACTTCATCCGAGCAACATCTGAGGCTCAACTCAGTGTTGCACATTAGATTTATTTTATTTTATTTTATTTTATTTTATCTTATTCTTTTTGTCCCAACCTAACCTATTTTATTTTATTTATTTTCTCTCTAACTTAATTCATTTTGTCCCCTACTTGTGCTGTTTTCTTTTTCTAATAAAGATTCTTTTTCTTTAAAAAAAAAAAACCTTATAGCAAGTTTATTTCGAGAATAATAATTTTCGTGAATGGCCTGTATCTGAAAGTTCACAGAATTAATTTTGGCAAATTGCCAATTTTCTGCCATTGTGTACCGTATTAAATTAATTTTCAAGGAATTTAATTTTGCAAATCTTCAAAAATCTGCAAATTTGTGAAATTTGTTATCCTCAAAATAAACCCGCTATACGGTACTGTAATGCATTGATCAAAAGCACTAACTCACGGTCATTAAGTAGATATACTTCATCAGGAGTAGCAGCATCAGTATTACACACTGGCAGGTAAGGATTAGTCTGTACTGCCTGCTCAGGAACATCATCTAACATTGAATACAATAATACACAGAAATGAAATAAATAGTAATGGAGTAATTAAAAGAACTACATACTGTACTGATGTACATGTACACATTGGTCTTCTTGATGAGTTTATATTTCACTAAAAATAATACCGTATAGCCGGAAAATTTGGCGGAGAATTAAATTTGGCGGATTGGCGGTTCAATATAAAACCGACAATAATAATTTCAATTATTATGGGCGGGTTCATTATACCAAAAAATGGCAGTATTTCTCACTATTTCAGTCACAAAGTCAAGACTGTGGGCAAGGACTGCTAAGGAGCAGCTTTAAGAAGAGCTGAGAGTGCTTAAAGAAAAGACAAGATAGTAAACCGCCAAAATAAATGACCGTCAATATTATATTTAGGCAGTTTTGATGCAAAACCGCCAAAGTTTTAGACTGCCAAATTTTCCAGGTATATGGTATCTGCCGTTTACACATTACATGCTCTGGCTATACTGACGGGGACATTAATTTTGTGATATGGGCCATAGTACTGTATAGCGGGAAATTTTCGAGGATAACAAATTTCGTGAATTTTGCGGATTTTTTTGTGATTCGCGAAATTAAATTCCTTGAAAATCAATTTAATACAGTACAAGATGGCAGATTAGTAGAAATTCGCGAAAGTTAATTCCGCAAATTTCCAGATACGGGTCATTTGCGAAATTTATTATCCTCAAAAAAACCACTATATGGTACATGTAGATGTCTGCAAATAATGATTCAGGCATGAAGTTTAACTAAATTTAATTTTCCAAATAGTTCTTGTTAACAATAAATTAATACAACCCTCCTATAATAGTAGGTACAACTTAATTCCTATCATACCTAGTTCGTTCATAGTCTTATCCATTTCAGTTTCAATATGACTCACAGCAGGTGCTAGTGTCTCCTCCAATCTCAGTGAGTCTATATGATTCCTCTTAGCTGCTGACCACGCTTTCTTTGCCCGAGAGCTACCGAATGACATCATCACTTTTTCAAGACCCTCAGAATACTCTTCCTTGGATATGGACTTACGCTTGGAGGGATTAGGATCAGTCACTGGAGTATCAGTTTTACCTGTAGAGATTAAGGACATGCATCAATATTATTGCCTTTAATACATGTACACGTACAAATTAATGGGAAGGAGGCCATAACTCGAAAAGTCAAATTTGGAATCAGCTCAAACTTGCTATGTAGCATAAGGACATCAATGCATATCAGAAAATGTAATAAAAACTTGGGGTGATTTCGGAGCCATTTTTTGGAAAAAACCATGGGCTATAGCCTTGGGCATTTTTCAGAAATTGGCTCATTTTTTTAAAACGGCAGTGACTCGAAAAGTTGAATCTGAATCAGCTCAAACTTGCTATGTAGCAAAAGGACATCAATATGTATCAAAAAACATAATAAAAATTGGGGGTGATTTCAGAGCCATTTTTTAGAAAAAACCATGGGCCTATATAGAATATACAATCATTAATAGATACATGTATTCTACTGATGGCTGGCTACAGAGTCTACCATACCTTTGATATAAGGTGTCATATGAAATATATCAGTAT